CTATAATAATTCCATTACAGTAACATTGCTATAATAACAATGTGATAGTACTTTTCTCACGTCCTCGCTTAATTTGTTATATTACTAAGTTCTTTTAGTAAAACAAAAAATAAACACAATCAAAGCACATTATATCATAAAATTTACACAACAAATACAACTAATTTTTATATCTTTTGAATCCTGAATAACAACCTAAGGTGATTTTAAATCAACCATCATTTTTTAGATAAAGAAAAACTGAACTTTTCCTACCAATCTCTTACTTTATTCTCTAGACTATACAACATAAATCCTATCCTCAAGAGCAAGATTAATCTATCACTGTAAGCACTGAATTTGAAGAGTGTAGAACAGACTAATCATGACACTTATATTCATCATAATTTTGGCTAATGCACTCAGCATAACCTAGATCAGGATGATATAGAACAAGTTGATGATATCAAATAACTAAGTGCAAAGAGGATGTTGGAACCCCAACCTAAACTAGTCATGGTACAACAAAATCCCATTGTCGTGCATCATTTTGGCCATCTCACATATTTTTGTTGCTCGCAAGTGGATGGATAAGTTAAACATGAATTTTTATTGTGTGGATTCAATATCCTCGATAGTCACTCTGACTTCTATAATTGTTCGACCTCCATGAATGCCTGGTGACCAACACAAAGAATGGTAGCCATCACTAATTTGTGAAGAACAAAGAACAAGAGAAAGATAAAGGGAAGCTTTAAGTGATAAATTAAACTAAAAACTATCATAGACATCCTTTAATAGATAGAATCATAATTATGAAAAGGTAAAATTATTAAAAAAACATCACAACTATAGAAATAATTAAAAGACATCAAATCATCATTCAAATTGAGGTGACAAATGAATCTTTGATTTATTTAAAAACCTTCCTTTATTATCACCCCTCGGTACAAACGATTCACCCAATTATGCATAGGCAAACATATACACATCTAGCGTGTTACAGAGAAGAAAACAAAAAACTTAAAGCACATGTCTGATGCCACCTCCAAAAGAATTCAACCACATCTAATAAGTCATTTTAATACCATTTCTCCATCGGCTATGAATTGGGTAAAATGAGTGAAATTGACATGATTAAAGTACATGGTACATTTGTCGCTAAATTCAATGACCTCGTTCTTCAGTTCACCCAATAAATTCCTTGTTTTGGCCATTTTGTGGCTTAATTTAATTATTTGTTGTTCTAGTTTGGTCATCTCAGTAACAATTGGTGAGATAGAAGCATTCATCTCCGTGGTAAGTATTTCCATGTTTTGTGGTTTTTCTTATTATGATTGTGCAGGAACCTTTAATTCAATAAACACTCTAAAGAAAACTCAGAAGTGCAACACACCTTTAATCAACAAACTCTCATTTGTAGGACTAGTCACATATTCTTTAATGCTAAAAGAGAAAATTCTAAAAGAATCTTGATGATTAACATCCTCTTCTACTGAGTCATTCTTTCCTAAAAAGAAATCAATGTCATATTCAAGTTCTATTCGCCCACACTATCTTTCTAGGGATGTACTATCCTAGAGGGTGGTCATTCATGTGTTTGGTATATGTGAAACTAACTAAAAAATATATTGTTCATTAATATCTATAACCATGCATAATATTGCCATGTATTTCCATATCATATGATATGTATTTAGGTTGTTTAGTTAAGGGCAGATTGCTAAGCCCTTCGAAGTTGTGTTGAACTGACCTTAAAGCTGACAGCTTTCATGTAGACCTTGAGACCATAAAAATCAAATCCTCTAATGGAGCCACCTCTAGAATGCCCATACCAATGGCCAAAGACACAACAGGAATTTATTCACTAATGGAGCCACTCTCTTGACCACTTCAATGCTTTCTTCTTTCTTTTGGTGTTAAACTTTCATTTATCGCTTGACGAACAAGCCTTCGAGAAGCTTAAAAGTGGGAATATTTATTTATTCTTCTGAAGTATTCTCCATTCAAACTAGTCAAGAATGTGAGACACGATAGAAGCTATAGATGAGTATAAGACTTACTGTGGAAGAGTGAATTAATTGGCATGTTTGCACCTAATTTATAAGAGATGAGGGGCCCAAAATTCAAGAAAATTACTCAACATCATTAATACATTTTAAAAAAATATTTTTAGCGTAAATAGAAATAGCTTTTTTTATTTTTGTTATTTATATTCACTTATTATTTTTATAGCTTCATAGTCCAAGAGATTAAAAAATAAAATAAAAACTAAATACGTAAAACCTAGTGCATTCTAAAGGAATTTTGGTTTAAAGTATGATATCAGACTAAGGAAAGTCACCAAATTCAATAGCTTAGTTGTCCTAATGAGCTGACATATATATGTGGTCGAGCACTAACTTCTATTTATGAGTTAGCAATTTGTTTACCACAATCAACCCATAAGTGTGAAGCTTGGTTCATATTACTCACCTCGTTGAAAGGACCAGATCCTCATTGCCCAAGAGATAAACTCAATCAAGAAGAACAACTCACTCAAATGCCAACTTGCTTAGTACTAAATTACCTCAAAGACCGAGTAGGCTGACAATAATGTGACCAAAAAACCATTATGGGGAATAGATGTTAGAATACGACACTAACAAATATAATATTAAATTCAAAAGAAGAAAATAAATGATAAATTAGAGATTTTTATGGATCTATGTAGTGAGTACCAGCTTTGTAATATACAAAATGACCCTTTATAAATAGAGGGGAAACCATATAACAATGACATTCGTACTCATCATTTTTCACGGAAAATAGTTGCTTCCTTCTTATGTAGCTCATGAGTTCAACTCTTTCCATGATATGTAAGTTCACAGACAAATCAACATCTAACAATTACCTTAAATGTATTTATAAACTTGGCAACCAAAACAACTTCAATCATCCTAGCATTATTGATTTCTTTTTTTACTAAAATTTTCTTATTTCTTGCCTGTGACTTTCATACATCTCTCTAACAATGCTTTCATTACTTCAACTATAGTCATATTGTGCATAATATCAATGCTCTTTTATATAAGATATTTCAAACCTCATAATCCATAAATTTTGATTTTATCCCCACAAAAGGCAAAAACAGTTTCGTCTAATATAGATAATTCCGAGTCTACATCTCACATCTTCTTTCTATGTCAAACCCATTAATCTTCACAATTGCATCCTCAATCCTCATTGCTACTACGTTTTCTTGAAGTTTATAACCGGCTCTACCACTCGTTGTTTAGAGGAAGAAAGATACAACAAAATGGAGCAATCGCATGTAGACCAACCAAAACTTTCTATTTACAAATCAACCTGCCTCTTTCGTCCATTTTTCAAATTCTCGCTCAAATATCAAACTTCATTGTAAAATCCTAACCCATATTTTTCATTTTCACCCAATTCTCAATTATTTGATGATGGCACAGGCAAATACATCGATTCAGCAGTTCAAAAAATTCACCTAGATATTTAATTTATACAAATCAATGTTTCGTGCTATCCCAAAAAAAGCATGAGAAAGCTCAATAAACAAACAAAAATTTTATGTGGTTTGACAATATCACCTCACCAACATTTATGGTGGCATGGATAAATATTTTTACTATTATAAATAAGAGCATCTTAAAATTTTTTTCATTTATGTTTTCTGAGAATAATAAATGACCAAAAGACAAGATGAAAGATTGGGAGTATAAACCAAAGATTAACTTGCTCATTTCCATAGTGCCATTGATAAATATTTTTTCTATCAATATTAAATTTTTCGCGCAATCATATATATTATATGACAATAATAAATGACAAAATTGTAAAATAAAATACTTGAAGGATGATTCAACAATCTATATTAAAGTGTCCTCACTTATACTAAAAAGATGTTTTGTCATTATGGCTGTAAACAAGTTGAGCTTGAGCGAGCTCAGGCTGGGCTCGTGTTCGACTCGTTCGAAATAGCTCGTGTTCGAATCGGCTCGTGTTCGAAATTGGCTCGTCACCAATGTGTTAGTGTTTGGCTCGATTCAAATATTCGTGTTCGTGTTCTGTGAAATTGGCTCAGAAAAATTAAATTAAAAAAAATAGATGTAAAGTGTGCGATTCAAACCTGGATCAAATGTATACAAAAAAAGTTACTAATCACATTACCACACGAGATGTTATGATTTAAACTTAGATATAAATATATATAATATATAATTATATAAATAATATGTGTAATATATTATTATATAAATAATTATATATTTTTTTAATTTCGAGCTAAAACGAGCCGAACACGAGCGAACAAAGAGCTGTTCGTGTTCGACTCGTTTATAATTCTAGTTTTAAATATTTGTTCGTGTTCGACTCGTTTACTTAACGAACGAGCCGAACCCGAGCTACTTAACGAGCCGAACACGAGCTGTTTGCGAACAACGAGCTTTTTTGACAGCCCTATTTGTCATAACCGAACTTATATTCATATACTCAATACCAATAGGATGAAGATCCAAATAATCTCTCTTTGTGTGACTTAGGGTCTGTTTGGGGTAATAGCAGTTGTTTGACGCACCAGTTCAGAATTTTGTGGTCGCTAATACAATTTTTGTTTTACAAAAAATCAGACGACAACTTTCTAACCGCCACTGCACTTAGCCAGACCCAATTACTAAATACAACTTTCACCTGCAACTTCCAGTTACTAGATACAACTTTCAGCTACAACTTCTTAAAAAAGAGGATAAAACACAACTTTGCCAAACACAAAAGTGTGGCACCACAGCGCTTTCCCAAACACTCTCTTATTTTCTTTTAAATTTGTATTTTAACCCATAGATGAACCATTGGGCTTTAAATTTGACATACAAACCTTTCTATAGTTTTACGTTTCTTTTGCTCTACTGATTTATCATCCATGTTTTATATTTCATCAAAACAACAAAGCCAAAGGAACTAAAACTAGAGCCAAATAAGTAAAAATAAATAAATTGAAAATAAAAATAAATAAATAAAGGTTTATAAATAAATGCACTCCAATTTCATGAAATATATGCATTTGAAAAACTAAAGATGACAGCCTTCCACCTTCAAAGTTTCAAGGATTTCAACTCTGGCATAATATGAACAACCAAACACTGCAAGCAATATTGATACAGAAAGAATTTTTTGAATCAAGGGACTTGATAGCACCTCAAGATGCCAAGCTCCAAACTTCATAGACCAAAATCAAACTCAGAAGAACAGGAGAGATTCAATAATCATCAATATGGAAACCACCATTGATGCAAGAGGAGTTAATATTGAGCCTTTTGAAGGTACTGCAGCTGGAGCTGAAGCATTCCCTTGATTTGGAGTTGGTGTTGAGGGATTTACAGGACTAACATGTGGCAAAGGCGGCTCGATTACATCCGAGTCTTGAAGAACCGGCAGTGGAGATAGAATTGGTGGTTGTGCCGGTGCGGTGATAAGCTGTTTTAAACCCCCAATTTGAACAGGCTGCATATAGTTTGGCATGTTCTTCCCTAAATTCCTACAAGAATTTCCTGCAAAGAAAAAAAAAACAAATTTTGTATATTAAAGTGGAGATACTAAATTAAAACAACCCAAAATACTAGATTTTTTCACAATGCCTTGTTTTTTTTTCAACATGTAAAAGCATTCTATCTTAGATTTTTTATGATGCTTGCCACAAAACTATGATCATCTAAAGTATAATTTAGAACACATTGGATTTGCTTCAAACTTACAGTCTAGAACTAAATGTAGTGAACCAAAATACTACATTAACTGTGCTAAGGGACTAAGGGGCTAAAGGACTAAGGTGAGCTTACCCAGTTACCCTTAAGCAGAACTCAAGACCCAGAACCTATGCATTGCCCCAATTGCACTCATTCCTAATCCTCCACCAAAACTACCTCTGCAACATCGAACGTAGATATCTAGTCCTTGCTGATTCTGCTAAACTCCTCAGATCTCGATTTAAGAAGTTGTAAAGGTAAGACATCGCACTTCTCCATCATTTCATTTCTTCGGAGCCATTAACAATGACTCCTCCAGCAAACAAAGACTATTCCTTGTGACAAGCTACCTAATCTAGCAGCTCAAGCCATCAATCATAAGTCTTTGACCCCGATATCATAAATGCTCTTCTCCTTTAGTCAAAAACAGCAAATCACAAGACGTTCCCTAATCAAACTTTCCTTTGATTTACAGCTTATGTCAATTCATAATCTACTTTTCCTCCACAAGCGCTTGTTTGCTTCATAGTTCCCTCATCTTCTACACTACTTAATATACAAAAGCATGATTTAACCTAAATTACTAGTTCTTTTTCATCTTAGCTTAAGACTTAAATTTAATTAATTCTAGGATAGATTAAATGATTAGATGTAATATTCTATATTTTACTTCATTATGACAATAACAAACTTGTGGGATAACCTACATTGACTAGATCGCACTTGCACTTGCACTTGCACTAGCTAAAAAACTAATTTTTATAACTAAGTATGTGTAATTAATCGAGAGTATTATATAGGCCCTTGAAGTTAAATTTTATGCGGCTTAGTTTGAATCTCAACCAATAGGAGTTCCGCACAACACATTTTAAGATAGAAAATTTGTATATATTAAAGAATAAGCGTATCCTTCTTTGTTAGGGGTACTATCCTAGATTCTAACATGTTAATTGATAAACCATCGAGCAAGGGCAAGATTTCAACATTAGGCAATTAATTAATTTTATATTTATGTGATTTTTGGTATGTTCTCTTATGTAGTAGTTAACTTTTATTTTGCACTCGTTAATAATTTTGTTTTCATGTTGATTATTTCTCTATTGATGTGATTAAATATTATGTATTTCTCTATATTTACACTTAGAAGTTTTTGCTTTCAATTATTCATATATGAAACCATCCAATTTTAAATACTAGGCAGCACTGATTGATCATGAATTGAGATTTATCTCACAAGTTGAGAGGAAAAGCTTCAATATGTTTCATACTGTCGAAGTGTACGATGGTTTAACCCAAGGTTTGACACTAAATTACAAGGAAAAAAAATGCAAAGGGTAAACTTACGCTTGTATGCTCTTGCTGTAGAAGGGAAGTCAGTGATGATTCCATCCACCAAAGCTTCCAGTACATATGAATTTATTTCCACATATGGATCTGAGAAGAAGTCCCATGCTTGAGAAACAAACTCATTCTGCATAACATATACAAACACTTCCAGCCCAGCATTTTGTAAACTTTTTACGATATTCGTCTCATTTACGATGAAAAACCGAGTTTCAGGGTAGATGGATATCTTGCTCACAGCCACAGAATCTGCAAACTTCTTGATGTCTTCAACTGAAGAAGCTGTAGCATCCTGAATGGACTCATCAATCATGTACATGAGCTTGTACTTTGTTTGCTGCCTCATCTTAACCAAAACTGAGCTATTACTAGATTGAATTATGACTTCGAGGGAACTTTGGTTGTTATAACCAGTATCCGCTAAAGCAGAAATGACACCATCAGTCACGCTAATCCCTACTTTTTCAGCAAGAAATGCTGCATTCTGCAATGGAAAGCAATCAAATCATGTTAAATTTAGAGTACCTAAAAAGCAAAACAGAAAAGGAAGGATAAAATTGTCATGTAAACTTATAGATGGATATGATCTAGTAATCAATGGGGATAATGGTGCATGTAAGCCCGTTCCTTAGAACAAAATAAAATAAAAAATATGTTAAAACAATTATTTTAATCACTTAAATTGAAGTTAGACTAACTACAAATAGAAAATCATGACGTTACAAGAAAATGAAAATAAAAGATGGCATTTTCAAATTCTACAAGATAAATGTCCTTGAATAGTTAGAGTTCTCACTCGAGCATTACAAATTTACAATGACGCAGGAGGCAAGTTAGTCCACAAATGACAGTGGTAAGTAAAATGAAAACATGCAAAACGGTTAAAATGTCTCCGTAAAACTCGTTGTGAAATAATGTATCGACTAAGATATCAAAATTTAATGGTATTGTTTACTACATATGGCTGCACCAGTGATGGACTCAGCAGTTATTCACCACCCTTCCTCCATTGATGAGTGGGCTCAGTCTTTCCTTAATGAACCATAACAACCAACTATAGAACGATGAATAAATCACGGGTAAAAGCATATAAAAACTAACACATGCAGCCAAACAACTAAAGCCACATGAAATATCAAATCTGTTCATCATATTATTGTCTTAAGAAAGTTCCATGGCACATGGGAGGAAAAGATCACAAGGAAAAACCAATAACAAAATTATCATCCGAAGGAAGGTTTAGAAACACAATTATAGATCTCAAAAGAACATTTTATCATTCTTGCTTTTAAAAAGTTTCATCTGTTATGTCCTCTCGCGTTACCCGCATTACTCTGTGCTTTGGTCCTATTGTTCTGATTTCTTAGATTAAGGAACTAAAAGCTCGCCCTGATTGGAATGGTTGTCAGCCTTACAATATCAAGTTAATTACTTGCCTTAAATTGTAAATAAGTTTTTATGTTTATTAGTCATTACACAAAAAGTTCGCGAGTTCTACTCATATTGGCATCCTGACTTCTTCCCTAGAATGTGTTAAAACAGGTTTATGCTTCCTTTATTCTAACACTTCAAAATTCATTTAGTTCATGCTTGCAAACCAAAATAAGCTTTTGCTCATGGGGTCTTGATTAAGAGAAGATGACCTAAGGGAATGGGGCATGTACATGTCATGAGTTTACAATCAAAAGAAAAAAAGGCTAAGCTTCTCAATTGAGGGTGTGGTGGGGTTTGGGGGGAGTGAGGGTTTCTTACTCTTTTATTCTAAAACAGATGCATATATTTTACAAGTTGCATGGTGTCTACAAATTACAGAAGAAGGTGAGATCAGCGATATTTTGAACCGGAATAGGCTAACAAATACAAGTTAACAAATGATTATAAAAGCAAAAGATAAAATGAATAAGAAAAGCCTAATCAAACAAACTTTCATACTATATCATCAACAATTGTGATTAAACTTGGAAAACCATATTACGATTAGTGGTCTAGGCTCTTGAGAGAGGGCAAAAAACTTAAGAACACATAGTACTGAATTACATTACTGAAGCATGAGAGAAGAAAAAAATGGCTTGGAATATACTTTTGGAAAAAATGATTATGGTTCATTACTGATACAAAAATAGTTAAATAAAACAATTCTAGGAAAAAGATATCATTAAATAGATCTATTTGATGATACATGACGAGAAACATTTTCATCTACTAAAATGTCAAGGTTTTTCTTAATCTAGAACTTTACTTAATGTCTTGCAAATCATTTATTTACCATCCTCACCTCTATATTAATAAGGATTCCGGAGAGTGCTTTGTCTTTGGCAAAGGACAAAAAGCTAGATAATGTCATGAAATTTCCAGCAGACTTGTATCGTGGGTTCCGCACCATTGATGCATATGAGATTTCTGGATTTGATATGGAGGCTATAAAGAAGAAATAGCAGAGTTGTTGATTAATGTCTAGTTAAAGAAGCTGCAAAGCATAAACAATATTAAAATGAAGTCTACGAGAAAGGACAATTAGAAAATCCGAAAATCTAAAGAAAGCATATTTTCCTAATTCCAAAATTAATTAAAGATTTTAATTTCACACTACAGATATTTTGGTCATAAATTAGGCCCTCAAATATATTGTAAGCAGGCTGAACGATTATATGTTTCAAGCCAATAATCATAAACTTACGCCTCAAGTTCTTTATCTCTTCCAAGGTGAGATTAAAAGTGAATATTCCAGCAGCGTTTTGAAGTTCTGGAATAGTAGAAATACGAGATCTAAAGGAGGATCGCCCGACATTAGTGCCGTCCATTAGGTCAATAGAACTCATGCATATGAGAACTCCATCCTGTGTTACTTGGACAGGACAGTCAATAATATCTGCTCCATCATTGACTGCTTTATTGTAAGCAAGATCTGTGCAGTCTGGGTAGTCTCCACTTGCTCCGTTGTGTGAAAGAATGATAGGTTTGCCTAACAAATGAAATAAGGAGAAGACAGAGAGATAGTAGTTAAAATAAGGGTCAAGTTAGGTGCATAGTAAGTGGAACAATGGGAAAACTTACCATGGTCTGAGCTACTTTTGTTGATGTGAGAAAAGCAACCTACAGAATAAAGATTTGTATTAGTAAAATGAACAATAAGAAATCTGAAATTCAAAAATGGTAGCATTATCATTTTTACTATTGAACCATTTCTACAAAATATGGAAAAATCAGTGAACACAACGGCCTCAAAAATGAATGTGACCATAAGGGTTAACTGAAAATTTGGATTCTCTCCAATTATCATGACAATTGCATAGCACAATAGCCCCCTACCACAAGCTTACAATTCATTTCAGGCATCTATGCTTATCAAACTAATTATTTTCAAAGTCCAATTGGGAATCTTATCCATCTAAAATGGATTGCAAAATTGGAATGGGCAAATTGGTCTTAGATGTATATTTCAAAAAACACATGGTTTGTTTTTTAGAGTGCTAATAGATGTATATTTCTTCAAATGAAGAAAAAACTAGCTTAAATTTATAGTTAAGGTGTTCAAATGAATACAATAAAACATCACCTATTGCTTCTGACGGAGTTACCGGGAAGTCTGTTAGAAAACCATCAACAGAGAATTCACCATTGTCAATAAAAGAAAGATATTCAGCCAAAGGATCATAACTGTAATTGTATGCAATAACAACATCATTGACAAAATCTCTTGCATAGATTTCCAACCTCTCCTTGTGAGCATCAGTGACAATAGAGGTGGCATGATTTTCTAAATATCCATCAGATGTTATTGGCCAAATATAATGTTTAGGAACAAGAATGCCAGATGCAAAAGACTTGATGAAGGTAAGATTTTTTAGCAATGTTCCATAGGTCTGGTTTGTAGAAGGTTCAATAACATCTTCTCCGAGAAAACAGAAAACCAGCTTAGTCTTGGACTTTTGAAACCTTGTCACAATGCTTCTAAGGAAATCAACTTCAGGAGAAGAGATATAGTTCACTATAACACTCTTTGACACAGACAGAACATAGCTTCTCATGCTTAAGTTAAACTGCCTGTAGAAAATATCATTCTATGCGATAACACAAAAGATAAAATGATCAGTCATGATTCAACCGAACTTGAATATTAGCATTTAGCTGATGACATGTCAGAAAATGAAAAAGCATCATTAATAAAATAATACCTGTACATTAAGCCATAATGTTGATCCATCAACTTGTTTTTTCACATCCCCAACAGAAAGGATAGGATAAAAGTTGAAATCAAATTTATCTGTTCGTTGTAAAAAAGTTGAAAATCATGCAGAATAAATTCCAAGTTTTCTTCCCTAAAATAATCAAAAAAAAAAAAAAAAGACGCAGATATCGTTAGTAATTTCCTTTTTGTAAATACATTGATCCTACCTGCTACAAACATGAACACCAGTCCAGTTGAGAAAAAAAGTTTGAAATTTCATGTCATGATTGTGCAAGCTTATGCATACTTACAAGTTACATATAATGACAATCTACAGCATCTAATCAGTAAAATTTAACTAAACATTAAAGAGGAGGGATTTGTGCAATATTCAATGCATAACTGCTAAAATGTGCACATAATGTGCCTGCAATCAGCTTTATTGACAGGTGCATGCACTTTAAATAAGAACAAACAAAAGAGATATTAATCAAAACATAATTACATCATGTTAGTTGATAGAGCTTATGAAATGTTTTGGATTACAAATAAGCAAAATGCAAGCAAAGGTAAATTCCTATCCTTAAGAAGACCAACTTACAAGAAACTTGTGATAAATCTTTAATGGTAAAATCCACAGAAAACCACCCCGAGTTCGGCACTCCATTGACAATATGGTTTTTCTTTCCTTTAGGATAAATGGTTGCAATGTTAGTACAATTATCTAGCTTCAAGTTTTGTAGACAAACCCCAACACCGTCCTTCGTTAGTCTCACATCACACCATAATATTGTATCTGCCGAACTTGCTATCAGAGCAAAACTGAAAGCATCTGAACTAGAGCCAGGAAATAAACCAGAAAAGCCACCATTGGCTATCACAACAGGGGCATCACCTACAAAGCACAAATTAAATAATTATTCCATAAAAATGCATTAGCATCATAATAAAAATAGCTATTATCCTTCCATAAGTAGATTTTTTTTGCCAATTTTTTTGGCAAGAAACCAAATTCGAAAATTACCAAATTCCAACATTGAAAGACTTATCATTATACAAAAAGACTGAAGAAATAGATGTTGATATAACTTCTATGGTAAAGTTTGCATTGAAGAAATATAGCAGTGTCTCAAGAGCAATATTTGATAAGATGATATCATAGAGGCTTATAAGTAAATTTTATAAATCTACAATTATGCTTATGATGTTGTATGAATATAAATGTTCAGTGGTTAAAAAAGAAATAGAGATTGAACATGGGCTACCCAAATAATGACGAAATGTTGGAGTCGAGTGAAGGCCTCTAGTAGGAAAGATGGGAGTGGGGTAGAGGCTTGAGAGTGGAATATATGTGAAGATTCGCAAACCTCAATTGTAATTGATTCACAAATCAATGAAAGAGAAGTAGGTTCACCAAATCAATCTTCAAGTGTCAAAAAATAACAGTATGATTTCATTCATTCAGTAATAATCTAAGTAAAGTTACAAATAATGTATGATGAAATTAAAGCAATGCATTTTACTTTGTCTAACCAATCATTGCTTTAGAAATAATTTGGGGCCACTTACAATCATTCACATGGATTAATGACATGTTAAAATAATAAATAAAATAAATTATATCTAATTATATTTAAAACAAATGTCTAATTTCAAAAATATATGAAAGCAGTATCGCTAGGTGAATGGTACTACCTACCAGTCATTTTTTTTAATTCTTTATTAAAATTGATCAATGGCCATATAGCTAAAAGCAAAAGGAGATCAAATTCTATCTCAATGTAAATCTAATTTTATTAAATCAAAAATCTATCACTGATTTTATATCTATAGGTGCTATTATCAAAAGATAAAACAACTTATATACAATCATATCAAAATGTTGCAAAGCCTGACGCTAATGTCAATGAGGCTCTCCAAGAAACTTAAAATTCATAAAAAGTTTCATAAAAATGTTTTAAAAATGCAAAGTAGCAACCCAGACATCTTATCTATCTACGTCGTATATAAGTAATTATCAAAAGATTTATCATTTATACCACCTATTTGAGCTCATCATTATGAATTCTCTTTCCCCTTCTATTCCTATTTAGTGTTACAGATGATAAGGTAAGAGTAATGAGTTTTTGAAAAAGGCATTTCACAATTTCTAATCACTTTACATTCGATAAACCCATTTAAATTTAAGCACTTTTCGAATCAATTCCATCTCCAATTCTTATTAATGCATCACTTACTAGTGCAGTGCATGTACTAACCCTTTAAATCTATTTTTAAAACCAGGTCCACAATAGATGCTGCACTTGAAGCCTACAATACATTGTTATAATCATGGAAAATTTAGAATTTGACAAAACACATGGAAACGAAGTACTAAACTTTCAAATATTAGCATATTAAATACATGATCAACCACAGAAAACAGTATGATAAACTACACTAAAAAAATATTGATTTAAAGAATAATAAGGCAACCAAATCCCCACAAGACATTACTATATACATGTAAAAACTAAATTTTGATCTCAAACTAGTCAGAAAATCCAGAGCTATCACTTATCGCCATCTAACTGCAACTCAAATCAAACTTAAAAGTCGAAAACAACAGAAACTGACCACCCAGATCAAACGAAATTTGCAGGAAACCACACACACACAACAACAACAACAAAAAACTTTCAAATTAGAATCCCAAAAAGGCTTAAATGTACTTGCATACCAAAAGAGAGAAACCCCATCACAAAAATCAAGCATAGCAAGATAGCGGGCCAAAAGGAGACAGAGAACGAGTTGAAAGTACCAGTCAAGGTTTGCCATGAAGAAGCCCCGGGTTTCTGCGCACCGACAGTACTCCGACGGAGCAAGAAGAGCAACACCAGGAACGAGGAGACCGCCCACCAGAACCTCCTTCTCACCATTTCTCAGAGACCCAAAAGCACAAACTTCCTTCTTGTGAAGCTCGTGTATCTCCAGGTTATATTTCAAAGCCGAGAGATTTAGAGCTTGGTGCGAATGGGGAAGAGATGGAGAGAAAGTCGAGAGGAAATGCGGGGTCTCCGCCTCTTTCCTGTATTCCACTTGACACGGCCAGTGCATCTCTTATAGAGGACAGATAGGAAATTTGGAAAGTTCATCCTCGCAGACCTACGGCTTCTTTTTCCAAATCAAATTCTCATGTAGTCATAGGTCAGGTAAGTGTGTAATCGAGCCAAACACGAGCTGAATGGTTTATATTTCGAGCTCAAAAAATGTGTCTTTGTTTGGCTCGTTTGGTTAGCGAGACGAACACGAGTCATTCACAGACAAAAGGTCTTTTTGACAACCATAATTTTGTAGCTAGAAGATGTTAAAAATTGGGAAAAGATTAAAACTATCATTTGAATCTAATTTAATCATTTTTATTCAATTTTCTTCTTTAATACTTTTAATTGATTATAAATCTTTATAGCATTGTAGTCAATTAATTTTTTTTAAAAAACTACTCATATATACATATCAATCTGCACCTAATCGTTTTTTTTTTGCTTTGTGGGGGGGAGGGGG